GTGAACAGGGAGCAGGTGTGTGTACACGGTGAACAGGGAGCAGGTGTGTGTACACAGTGAACAGGGAGCAGGTGTGTGTACAGTGAACAGGGAGGAGGCAGCTTTAGTGTCTTCAGGAGCCCTCTATTGGGAAACAGTGTCAGGCTGCAGTAATCCAGGAGGAAGCCGTGGCTTTGTGGCTGACAGTTGCTATACACACTGGTCAATCCTTTGTAAACACTTGTCCTTGCACCAGGGAAAGCTTTGCTAATTTCCATGGGCCGAAGCACTGGGGTCCCTGCCATGGCGATGCGAATGTCAACAATATACTCTCACTCAGTACCTAACCTGCTCCCTGCCCTTTGACAGCAGCACTGACCCAACTGCATGAGTCTTTGCTTGTTCTGGCAGAGTAAAGAATTAAGGTATTTAGTATTTTGCTAAGAATAAACTTGGGGCTGGAGAAATGACCTAGTACTTAAGAGCACTGGCTGCTCTTGCAGAGAACCTGGGTCCAGCTCTCTGTATCCACAGGGCTCAGAACTATCTGTAAATCACTAAGTTCCAGGGGATTTAGCACCCTTTTCTGTCCTCTGTGGGCATCAGGCATGCACATGGTGCACACACATGCAGAGCAACACTCATATAATAAAATCAACTTTTTAAAAAGTTGGAGACATGGTGAAATAAATTGTGGGTTTCTAAGAACAAAATGCCCTCAGTCTCAGGGCAGGTGCAGGGGCCTCTGACTCTTCCAGGAGACCTCTGAATTGTCAGACCTCTTGGAACTAGAAGGGATGCTCAGATGTGAATCTCTGTCCCAGAAGAGACCGTGCAAAGGCTTTGGGGTTGTATCAGTCAACTGTTGACATGCCTTGCCACATCCTCTTATCCTGGCCATGCAGAGTGAAGACAGCAGACCCTGGGTCACTTAATAAAACAAAACCAACCCAACAGCACCACCTCTCAGGGCCGCTCAGCAGAGTGGCCCTCTTACCTCGGCAGTTCACTAGGCCAAACCCTGCTCTTGTGCATAAGAGGCATGGAACAGAAAATACACACATTTTTTCTAAGAAAAAATTTATTGGACCAAATGACAATGTATGAAGTTAATTTGAACAATAACGCCATACTCAGACATATACCTTCAATATAAAGTGAACGTTAATGTAAATGGCACCTGAAGCTTCCTGTAATGTGTCTGCATAAAGCATTCATGAAATGCTTCATCTCAAAACTAGCTCGCAAGTTTAACAGAAAACCCGTGCATGGCACTTGCCATCGGTTTCCTTACATTACCACACCTGCACTACGTCGTCGTAATCCCCCAGGTGTTCTGAGGGCTGTGACAATGAAAGCATGGCAGCCGCCGGCCGCTGTCCTATGGGTAGAGAGCTGAAGCACAGAGCTGCCGACCCTGGAGACTGAGCCGAGGACGTGGGAGCTCCATCACTCTGGTTTGGTGACAGGAAGTGGGGAACCAGGGAAGGAAAAGGAAACCAGCATAGTAGGGTCAAAGGTCTCCACAGAGCAGTTGTAGAAACGAAAACAAATGGATTCAAGTCAAAACTGAACCCTTGGAGCGGCACCCCAGGGATCTGTGGGGAGACCAAGCCCTAAGGGCGGACTGGGAGGCTGAGGGCCACCGCCTAGCACGGGACCTTTCCTGGAGGGCGTGCCTCAACCTGGTACACTGGAAACAGTGAGCAGTATGCACAGTATGCAGGTCCCACCAGCTTTTCCTAAAGACGGTTCCGGTATCCAAATGCGTGTTTAGGGCCCTAATGGGATCAGGAGGCAGAGACTGATGTCAGAGTAAAAAAAACAAAAAACAAAACAAAAAAACACCAACTCTTCAGACACCGGAGAGCCTCTGACACACAGGGAGAGTAGCCACCCCGGAGAGCCTCTGACACACAGGGAGTAGCCGAAGACAAATGGTGCCCAACAGTTAGCGTGTGACAGGGTGACAGGAAGAATCAGGGCTTCAGAAAGCACTAGAAGGTAGCATAGCACCCATTACGACTAATATAAGATAGAGAAATTTCACTGCGGATCTGTATCCTATCTGTGCTGTTCTATAAATATAAATGTTCTGAGGGCTTTCAAAATATTCTAAACGACAAATACATTTTGGTATAAATATTATATTAGGGTCATACAACATTTAAACATAGATCAGGAATATAGATAAGACTAATTTCTGCAGAGCATTTTCTGAACATTGACCTAAGAGCTGACTGAATGCTAACGTCAGAGGAAGCATCTTTTTGGAGACGGGTACAAACATCCTTTAATGTATTAATTTATGCTTTGTACAAAAGTGCACTTGCTCACCTGTGTAAAGGAATCTAAAGTTGTCACAGACCTAACACAGAACTCTTTTTCTGTTCTCTTCTCGGCAACCCTGCAGTCAAGCCCACACGGGAAGGCTATTCAATGGGTTCGGCTCCGGTTCTCCAGGCTCTTTGTCTTCCCTGGAGGTACGGCTAAACAGAGTTTCAAGTTTCTTACTCAGACTAAGCGGCTCTCTGAAGATTCCTCACCATGAGATTATGATCTTTGTTTCCGGCAACACTGATACGCCCACGTTTCCATGAGAAGAGTAAATGATTCTAAATGGCCCACTTTTAGCAGTGTGCTTTTCAAACGGCTCCACTGCCAGCACTCCAGACACCTCACTAGATCCAAGGCGATCGGTGGAGGTTACCTGTTCTACCATCTGGGGTTGCAAAGTCTGTGGCGTCACCACACATGCAGACTGTGGCCACAGTGGAACCTGATAGTCCTGTCCCCTCAGGGGGTGTCATTTCCAGGGTGACGGTAAACCAGCCTTATGTGTGGGCCAGCTAAGTAGTTTCATGGAAACTGAGATCCACACTATCACATCTCTCATGTGCTAACGGAGAACGTGTCCCCTGGTTGTCGGGCACAGCCTTGACACACAGCCTTGTGCTCTCGACCACAGCTCTGGAACTATCTGGCCCTTAAAAAAATATTGTTGTTTTGAGACAAAGTCTCACTAGGGGACCCCAGGTGGACCTCAAATTCTCTGTCCTCCTGCCTTCAGCCTCCCAAGTGCTGCATTACAGGTGTGAGCCACTGTGTCTGGCTCAGTACATCTGCTTCTAGAGGAGCAATGTGGGATCACAGAAACTGTTTTTAGTGACCCTAGCCTCTCCCCCACTTCCTCTAAGCCCAGCCCTTGCTCGGCGCAACTCCCTTCTGTCCTCACAGCTGAGCATGTGGCCAAGATGGCTCCAGATTACAAGGCAGAGAGCTGAGTTTAGCTCTACGTCGGCACTGAGCTCAGCAATGCTCACACTCACTACCGCTGGAGGTCCAGGCTTCAGAGTCGCTGATAATGGCAGGGGTGAGGGCAGTCACAACCAATCAATCTGCAACCCAAACAAGGAGGATGACCCAGTGGGGGGCACTTCTGGTCTCGGGGCAGGAAACAGAAGCAAACAAATCAAACTTTCTGTAAAGTTTGTCATGAAAAAGTCAACCGAACAAAAGGTAAAGTTTTTAATGTCATGTCAACCTCAATTTCGACTTACATTGTTAAAATGATCAAAAGAACAACTCGTTCTAAATTACCATGACAGAGAAAAAAAAATGCATGTGAGAAAAAAGGAGCCACACTTAGAAAAATAAGTGAAAAGGCATTTGTGTTGACAGCTATAAGATTAGTTAAAATATCAATATATCTACTGAGAAAATACGTATCTCAAAATAGAGCAAGGCCTAGTCAGAAGGCTCAGCTAACTTAAGGAGCTGAGCGCCAGGGCAAGCAGCACACACCTTCTGACCACGGCCCTTCCTCACTTTCCATCTGGCAGGACAGAAGCAAACCACCCAAAAGTCACGGCAGAGCGCGGCACTTCTCCTCAGGAAGCTCCCATGTTGCTCACTCAAATGCCCATCAGCGCAACCGATGGGTGTTAGGTGTATCTGCAGACACCTGCACAAAGACCTCATCGTCATCTTCTGCCCCTTCCTCTATCGGCTTCATCTTGGCAGAGGCTCGATGCCCCGGGGAGGACACAGCTGGAAGGAAGCAGAGAGAGCAAACTGCTGAATGCACATCATGCCCCACGCCTGGAGACCAAACCTCGCGGGGACGCAGAGCTCGTTCTGGGAATGCAGCACCCCGCGTGTCTCAATGGAGTGGTCCACTGAGCAGCTAATGTCAAGAGTGAGACTCTCAGTCCAGAGAACAGACCTGAACAGACCCTGCTGCATGGGTCTGAGCAACACGAGCCTCACAAATGTGCAGACTTCCGGGGCATTGCTCTGAGGTCTGTCTCTGCATACGTGCTCCACATTAGTATCCTTGATGTGACTCCATCTAAGCAATACTGGCCTTGGAAAGGTGTTTTAACTCATATTTCCTTCCCTAAGAACAAGTTCTGTTTCCAAACTACAGACTTGAACCTAAAAGTACATTTCCTGCCACCACAGGTCCAGCTACTTCCAGGACTGAAATGAGAGAGTAAGCTCAGATATGGAAGATCAAGTGTCAGGTGGGAGAAATACAGCCCAGGGAAGGGCGGAGGCATCTGAAGGGTGCAGATGCTAGCCAACCAGAGACAATTCGGTCACTCACTCATTCACCCAAAGCTCATGGTACACTCACCCTAATGACCTCATGCCTGACAAGGACAGCATGTATTGTGTATGCTTGTAGATAGATGGTGTGTGTGTGTGTGTGTGTGTGTGTGTGTGTGTGTGTGTGTGTGTGTGTGCATTTGTGCCATGGCTTGAGTGGAAGTCAGAGGACAACCTTCATGAGTTGGTTCTCTCTCCTAGGACCCTCCTGTGGGTCCTCGGGATTGGACTCAGGTTGTCAGGATTGGAGAAAGTGCCTTTACCTGCCGAGTCATCTTGCTGGCCCCCAAAAGTGAGTTTTTATAAAGTAGACTTTAAGATGTGTGATGACCTGTTCACCTTAACAACTTCACTGCATTTGAGGTCAAGATCCATCCTGTATGTAAAGGAGTCTCGACCTGCCTCGCCCTCCCCTACACCCGTGCCTCCCTTTATGCCCAGCCACAGGGCTGGTGGCGTCCAGTCAGCTACTGCTGAGCTGTGTTGGGGAAGAACAGTGGACGACACACCACACTGAGTACTTGGCTAACAAAGGCACACAGACAGATCTCAGCTGTGAAGCAGACTGGACACACGGAAGTTACACGAGGTCACTGACACTAGCTGAGGAGAGAGGTGGGAACACCAGGCCGCCCAGCTGGGGCCACCTGCAGCTATCGAGGAGGAGGAGGAGGAGGAGGAGGAGGAGGAGGGCGGGCGTGCCTCAGGCTGCTCCGGGTGGCGGGCAGCAAGATGCTCTGCGCTCAGTCAGAACAGACGACAGAGGCCGCACTACAGCGGCCTACACCAGACAAGCTCGGGAAACACTTCCAGGGTCAGAGTTCCCACGGCGCTGCCCTCCGGCTGTGTGCCTGGACAGGGCGCTTCACTTCTTCCTGCGGTTTCTTCCCTGTGAATCAGGACCAGTAAGGACGGCACCTGCCTGGCAAGTTCTCAGGAGGCGTATGCAATTTCTGAGTTTTTAGATCAGTATGGGAAATAGAATGATCACCTTGTTCGTGTTTGTGAGAACACTAATCGATACAGCCTGAGGAGGTCAGTAGTCTAAGGGAGAACAATTACCAAAACCCGTCACGGCCTCGCCGGAAATGGGGTTTGTGCTCAAACAGCAGATTGTGTTTTTCAATATCAACTGCCTTGGCTGAGGCTTCCATCATAGCCTCTAGTTATGATTGAGTCTCATAAAATATTCACGCGGGCTGAGAATTCACAGTCTCATAAAACCCTGAGGACAGCATGCCTAAGAGCATTACCCAATCAATACCACACGACGTCCAGCCATGGCTGCTAAGGCGTGTAACAAACACATCCAGTTCATCTGGGTAAGAAGTGGGGCTAATTGATCTGTAGTTTTCAAGGCCATTTATCAAACCAGGGATGATAGCCTCTGGTCCATGAGACTGGGCTCTACATTAGAGCCCAAATGGGATGGGTCTCTCAACTATTCAACTCAATATCTGTTATCTTTTTAGACAGAAAAAAAATACATAACTTCCAGTGCTCCAGTATAACTGGAAATGGTCAAGGAAAACCTCCCAAGAACTTTCAGCCCTTCTGGGAAAGAGTTTTATTCTGTCCCCATGGTATCTTCTGGAAAACACAGCTGCAATACTTACTGTGCAGCATTCAAAGGGTGAGGAGTGGGCAACACCCGGGGCTCTCAGGTGTTCCTAAGTCCCTGGGAACTCACTGCCTTCCAAATCCAGCCCGGCCTTGCTCTCTCCTTGCTTTTCTCTCTGGAATGCCCACCTCGGTCAAATTTCTACCCATTCTTTGTACAGTTCCTTAGTATTCAGTGAAAAAAAGAAATAAAAAGGAAAGGAAAGGACGTGACTGCTCCTAGGGATGGGGGAGGAGAAAGTTCACTGTAGATAAAAGGGAGAGCATAGGAAGAGGCAGGGACAGGGATGTCTGCGAGAGTCCAGTGTGGACATGGCCAGACGGAACGGGGCCATGTGGAGATGTGGGGAGGAGGAGGGAGAGATGGGACCCACATACAGCAGCCAGGAGGCCAAAGGTCCCAAAGGGCCGGGCAGCCAAAATGTCTGGATTATATAAAAAAGGGCAGCTGGGGAAGGCAGCCCAGCCCCCCAGCCCCATGGAGAGTTCTGAGTAGGGGGCAGGATATGCCAGCCATTCCCTGTGGCTGTAGGGACTGGGGGATGCTGGGAGAACCTGGCAGCCAGGTCTGTTGTGATGTGTTAAATAGACACCTCAGCCGTCTGTCCCGGTTTGAAACTTAACGAGTCTGATCCTCCCTCATTCCTTCCACCATGTTCATCCCCGTTCTGCATCACACCATGGGGTGATGTGAGTCTCTTCTCGCTGAGAGCGGTACCCACCTCCTCCTCCTCCTCCTCCTCCTCCTCCTCCTCCTCCTCCTCCTCCTCCTCCTCCTCCTCCTCCTCCTCCTCCTCGCTCCGTCAGCCTACTGCGCACAGTGAGGGCAGGCCCTTCATAATTACTTAGGTGTATGGCGGTCCCCTCCCCTGCAGCACTCCACAGAAACTGTCCGAAGACAGGCTGAAGCTGTGGGAGACACGGTCCCCACACTGATTCCCAGGCAAGGCCAGCCCCGGTGGGGGAGTACCAGAGCCTTCCTCCAAATTAGAAAGTCCGGTGCCGGGAAACCTTACTAGGACACAGGGACTCTAGTTCATCCCAACTCTAAAAACATTCTTCAGTCTTCAGTCTCGATCACTGCATATGTAGCCTGTGTTGTACAGGTGGTAGGGAGCAGGCTGTGGCTTTGCAGCCGGGTGCTTAGAACCTTGTCCTTCGCTGCTGGGTGACCATCACAGCTGGGTGCTTAGGCCTCACCCCATGGCTGCTGGAAGACTGATAGGACACTGCTCAGCACATGGCCAAGAACTCTGTCTGCTTAGTACCATCAACTACTAAAGCTCTCCTGTCTTCTCAGCACAAACAAGTGCCTGGAAGGGGCTGGGGGTTGGGTAACGCACGCCTGAAAATCCAGCACCTGGGAGGCTGAGGCAGTAGTCAGTGCAAGGTCGGCCTAGAATGCTGAGGATGTGATCAGCCAACCCGACCCCATACACACACCGAGAACCCCACTTACCCGGTAGTTCCTCGGGAACTCACACCGCCCTTCAGGGTGAGGGGACATCACCACACTAGAGTCCCACCTCATCCTCAGACAGCTGATGGCAGAAGTGACAGGAGCGGGGGACTCCCTCCTCACCAGGGAGGAGCCTCTGGACAGACACCCTGGGAGGACCAACCAGGCGCCCTGGCAGCCGGGCGGGGTTCACTGCTGAGAACGGCGATGGACTTGTCCCCCGATTTGTGGCCGGGTTTGGGGACTCCCAAATGCTGCTTCCCTGTCTTTGTCTCCTCCAGGGCAGACAAGCAGAGGACAGGAACGAACCAATTATTGCCGCCAGCAACTAACTGCCCAGTGGCTCCTGGCTGCCCGACTCTTGGCTAGGAATCACAGCCACACCCAGTCCTGGCAGCCATTCCAGTTAGCCCAGGCTTCCCATGCCGCGGGGGCTCAAAGAATGTCACAGTCAGCAGTCTGATGGGGTCACCTGGCCTGGCCTAAAAATCTACCACTGTCAGCACTTGCAAGAAGAGTGAGGAGGTCACCTGGTCCCTGGATGGACTCAGATCCACTGGCAGAACTCCAGGCTAGGGGAAGACTCGATCCCATTATCACACAGCTGCAAATTATTTCCTTGCCCCTTGAATCTTGAACCACTTTGGAGTACAGGAAAAAAAAAAACAAAAAAACAAAAACCCTGAGGGACTATCACACATCTCCAGGAAGTTGAGCCATAATACATTCTCCTACCAGCTCGCCCAGTTCTGCATTAACCCTACGCACTGAGGCGTCCCCAAGCATTTACCCGGAAGTCCTGTCTGCCTTATGTACATGAGAAAGCATGAGGAGCTGAGGGAGAAACGGGGCTTTTTCTAGCATCTGCATCCTTTAAGGACGGTACTCAAGGTTCAGGACATCTCTACCATACTTGTCTATCCAAATTGGGGGGGGGTGCTGGGGGGGCAAGTAATTCTTCCATAGCCATTAAATTTCTAGAAAACGGATCCTTGCATTTTCTTATTTAAACTACAATCATAGCTGGGAGACAGAGAGCTCAACTATGTATTATGGTCAGGAAGAGATCATTATAATTATTACTATTTTCACTATTAGTTAAAATTACCTTTTAATTTGCTAGGCTATGGCTACTAGTTAGCAGTTTCTCATTAAAAGTCTATGAAATAAGTAGTCTCCAACTGAACTGCATCCCAGAGAGGGCATAAAACTGTTAAGAAGTTACCTTCACGTTACACCCGGCAGCTAAAGATCGCTGTCAACAGAATTCTGCGACCTTTCCCATAAACACCCCGTTCATGAGCAGGTGCAGCCAGAGGAGCACTGTTGCTTCGGAGCTGGACCCCAGGTTCCCCGATGC